GTGCTCCCTCTCTCCTCCTGTCTGCGCCTTTGTGTACTTCCTGTTTTACTTTGACAGTCTCCCGTCAGTATGTGTCATGTTGTGTTGCTCCTGCCCTGTCTCGTTACGATTATCTGTGTCAACTGTGTCCCCCTTGTGCTCCCACCTCCCTCGTTAAACCTCTGTGTATTTATGTCTGCGTCTCCCTCTGTTCAGTGTCGCCTTCTCCCTCATTCATGGCTTTGTGTTTCTCTGTATGCTAGTGTATTGCTTCACAGTGTAGCTTCTTATCAGTTTGTTTCGCCGTTTCCCTCCAGCAATAAAGCTGTGTTTTGAGTTCATTCCTGCCTCTGTGAGCTTGCGTTTGGGTCCACTTCCTGCCTGCCACACAGCCGAATCCTGACACTGAACATTGCAGTGCCACATAAATACTGAAGCATTATTTTTGTCTTTTGGTTTTTTTGCACATATTTGAAAGCATCAGCTATATGGAGATAAGTTCAGCAAGAAAAAAAGCAGCATGTGGGGCGTCGCTCAGAGCAACTGTGACATGTTTTATATTGCACAATGATAATAACCTCCATGGGTAGCTGTTCCACTGTAAATCAAACTCTATTAGCGGGTACAAAGGACACAAGCTCAAGTTGGCATTTGATCTTTGATAAGATTTCATGTGTATGTGTACTTCTTCCCTATAGGGAAGAAGTACACATACACATAAAAAGGAAAGGAAACTATAGTTTCCTTTCCTTTTTAAATCTCTTCAGTCTTTCCCTGCATAATGTAATATAACCATAACAATGATCCACCTAAGTTAAATGTTTTTATGAAAAATAACACCAAAATAAAACCATCCATTAAGGATAAGTGATCCTTCCAGAATTTAAGAAACAAATAATCTTATAAATAAGCTTTACTCTTTAGTTATATAGCCCTTAGTTTAACTTTAACTATGAAATCTGCTCCAAATAAGGTATAAACATAGAAAAATAGAACATTTTCTACAAAGATATAACCAGGCTGAATTTTGGGGCAGCTTTTTTCAGGAACTCTTCTTTCTCTGCTTCACTTTCTTTGGTTTTAACTAACATACAATGAGGAATAGCAAAGGGTAATTTTAATAATGTTTTTGATGATCCAATAAGATGCCATCCAGAAGTCAAAATTTTGAAATAGTAACTCAAAACCTTGATTAAACTCTGCCTGGTAATTTGTTTTTCTTTTTTTCAGTGGTAGAAACAAGCTCACATGTTTTCTTGTGCTAGGCTCACAACTTAATAAAAACAAAATTAATCTCAAGTTTTGGTATTCATAGGTCAGGGGTTGGTGGTCAGTGTTGGAAAGAAGCTTCCATAATTTGGTATGCTAGGATCAAACTTTACTTGAAAAGAGATCCCCCCGGTTATAAGTACAAACAAAAAATATATATATTTGAATTTCATTAATCTTTAGTATTGTAGCACCTAATTTAACCATAACTGTGATTTATCTTCATTCTGTATGGGTTTAATTATGATATATGCTGTAAATAAGGCATACGCATAGAAAAATACAAATAAAAATTCTGAAAATAAAAGGTTTGGGGCAATGTTTTGTGAATTTCTTCCTTCTCTTCACTTTCTTTGGTTTTAACTGCCAATAAATCCAAATGGTCCACAGTAATTTTAATTCTAAAAGAATCATTTTTCTCTGCACTTCATAGAGCACATATGTTTGTGATCAGCACCATGTTGGTCTGGACCAGCCTTTAAAATATCCATTAGATAACCCAGCTGGTAAAGTCATGGAAAATTGATTAGTAGATAAAAGGCTTGAAAAGTGGGCTTCCTGGTCATCGTCTCTGGGTGTGACCTGCACTTAGCACACTAAAGGAGGAGTGGCTGCTGATTAAAACCGCCAGTGGAGAACAATTGGCAGTTTCAAGCTCAAAGATTAAGAGAACTACAGACTCGGCCACTTCTGGCCTTCACTAACTTTTTTCCACCCTGTGGTAAAGTTGTTTTTGATTCATCCAATGGCTCAAAAATTCATCCTCCTGTCTGTCATTTGGCTTGTTGTAGCCATTTTTGGTAAGTAGCCTGATTTTATTGCAACAACTTTAAAATCCTTATTTTTGTCAGTTTGATAGTGTATGATAGAGTGACAGGGTAGAGCACATGTTAACAAATTAAAACATCAGATAAACTTTAGAGGTGAAATATTCATTTTAATATAGTTGTTTTTTTTTATTTATTTAATTAAGCTTTCAGTTTAATTCAGTCTAAACTGTTATGCACACAGGTGGAGCTTTAATAGGCTTTATGTAAATAGTAGATAAATGGATTATGTTATTTAAGACTTTGCAGTCATTCCTGATCCAAGATTACAGCTGTAACAGCAAAATGGAGAGCTAGCCATGACGTAAGACTGCCTGGATAAATGTCCTCAAATCAAAATATCTCAAATTAGCTTGAATATGAGAATATCATTTTCATGATTAACAGTTACTAGTTCCTTTCCCCTTTTGTTTTGCTTCCATACAAATTCTATACACTTGTCCAGTACTCATATGTTTTTAATAATGGTCTAACTTGCACATCTTCCTTTGCAACCATTGTGTATCTGGGCTGGTTTAGCACATATATAAGCAAATTTGACCAGTGTGTTCATGTCAACAGTCTGACATTAATTGCCATTTTATTATTTTATGACCCTGTTGTTATACCACATCCTTCTGGCAAGGCCACGATCAAGGAAGTCTCTTTGTTCACTTCAGATCCTGCAAACTGTTTAATGCTTTACATGTCTGAATCCTAAATGATGGTTGAGTGAACTTTATGTTTTCCATGCAGAGTCTGTGTCACTGCTGGTGCTCTCTTACTGAGACTGAGAAATGACCCTACTTAGCTCTTTGTTTGATGTCTTGCATCATTAAACATAGACTATATGATCCTGCTTTAATAACTTTGATATAATTTTTTTCTCTGGCTTGCTTCCTGGGTATCAAATTTCAAAGTTGTGAACAAAGGTAATCATATACTAACTACTGCGTTTTAACACAACTATTAGCCTCTTCAACAAGAGCAGAAGATCCTGAAATTTCAGGTTCAGGAGACGAAGTAACTACAACAACAACAGGCCTTCCAACTACAACAACAACAGCCCTTCCAACTACAACAACAACAGGCCCTCCAACTACAACAACAACAGGCCCTCCAACTACAACAACAACAGCCCTTCCAACTACAACAACAACAGGCCCTCCAACTACAACAACAACAGCCCTTCCAACTACAACAACAACAGGCCCTCCAACTACAACAACAACAGGCCTTCCAACTACAACAACAACAGGCCCTCCAACTACAACAACAACAGCCCTTCCAACTACAACAACAACAGGCCCTCCAACTACAACAACAACAGGCCCTCCAACTACAACAACAACAGCCCTTCCAACTACAACAACAACAGGCCCTCCAACTACAACAACAACAGCCCTTCCAACTACAACAACAACAGGCCTCCAACTACAACAACAACAGCCCTTCCAACTACAACAACAACAGGCCCTCCAACTACAACAACAACAGCCCTTCCAACTACAACAACAACAGGCCCTCCAACTACAACAACAACAGCCCTTCCAACTACAACAACAACAGGCCTTCCAACTACAACAACAACAGGCCTTCCAACTACAACAACAACAACAGGCCTTCCAACTACAACAACAACAGCCCTTCCAACTACAACAACAACAGGCCCTCCAACTACAACAACAACAGGCCTTCCAACTACAACAACAACAACAGGCCTTCCAACTACAACAACAACAGGCCCTCCAACTACAACAACAACAGGCCTTCCAACTACAACAACAACAGGCCTTCCAACTACAACAACAACAGGCCCTGCAACTCCAACAACAACAGGCCCTGCAACTACAACAACAGGCCCTGCAACTCCAACAACAACAGGTCCTGCAACTACAACAACAACAACTCCATTTAAAGGTAATTCGATCCCCCTGGATCTAAATGTTCACTGGTTATAATGCTGATATAGTGTTTCGATCGTGGCTCAAGAGTTGGCAGTTCGTCTTGTAATCGGAAGGTTGCCCCGGCTCGGACAGTCTCGGTCGTTGTATCCTTGGACAAGACACTTCACCTACTGCCTACTGGTGATGGCACGATGGGCTGATGGTGTGATATGGCAGCTTCACTTCTGTCACTCTGCTGTATCTTGCCTCCACCAGTGTGTGAATGAATAGAGGAATAGTAAAGCGCTTTGAGGGTCTGTAAAAGCACTATATAAATGCAATCCATTATTAATAATATTATTTCTAAGTCTCTCTCTCTGTGTGTGTGTGCGTGTGTGTGTGTGTGTGTGTGTGTGTGTGTGTGTGTGTGTGTGTGTGTGTGTGTGTGTGCTCGCACTTGTTTTGTTTCTCACTTTGAAGATCCCTGCAACCCAAATCCCTGTGGCACTGGAAGCACCTGTGAGGTCCGTTATAACAACACATATGTATGCTTGTGCCTCGCTGGTGATTCCTACAACAATGTTTCAAACAGTTGTGAACGTTGTAAGTATTTGTTTGTGTGCCACTATGAAGATTTTACTTTATTTAACAGTGACATGAATGAAGATTATATAGCAGTATATAACACTACGTGGGCTGGAGGAAGATTAGTAGATCACTGAAGGACAGGTCATTCAAAACAATATGTACCTCTTGAACTAGCTATCTCCTAATCAGTTTAGTCCAGGGGTGCCCAATCCCAGTCCTCGAGAGCTACCGTCCTGCAGCTTTTAGATGCATCCCTACTCCAACACAGCTGAATCAAATGGTTTGATTACCTCTTCAGCATGCCATCGTGTTTGGCAAAGGCCTGATAACAAGCCATTCATTTGATTCAGCTGTGTTGGAGTAGGGATGCATCTAAAAGCTGCAGGATAGTAGCTCTCGAGGACTGGGATTGGGCAGCCCTGATTTAGTCGGACATAAACAGTAAGTGAGTAATGTTGACTGTTAGCCTGGCTTAGCCAACTTAATGCAATCTGTGAAATACATTTTAATGTTAACATTTTAGATTTGGTTTACTTTATCTTCGCAAAAATAAAGTGTAAGAATGACAAATTGGATTTTGGTTTTTTTTGTTTTTCTGGGGTTTATGTCTGGGACTAACCCAGCTAGCCTCCTGTCTTAACCTTAGTTAAATACCTGCTAGTTGTAGCTTGATATTTAACAGACAGACACTGTATGAGACTGGCATCAATCTCCCTCCTTTCAGCAAGAAAATGAGAGATATAAAATATCATTTTATTAGATTTTCACTTTCTTCTGATATTTTCTTGTTTTCAGCCAGAGTCTTCCCTGGAAATCTTCAAGTGAAAAAAACATTTAAAGATGAAATGACAGACACCACATCAAAGGAATTTATAGAAACTGCTAATGAAATCATTGCTGAGGTAAGTAATTTGGTAGTATTCTCTATCAATAAATGTGTCTTTATGGACATTTTTTGAAAATGCACTTGACATTACAAGTTATACTAAAAACAATTTCATCAGTTATTTAATCAATCTTAATAGTCATACTGAGCAAAACATATTTTCTTTTGAAAACACAGCTGGATGAAGTTTATAACGAGATGAACGGTTACTCCAAATCTATAGTGCTGAAACTCCTGTAAGTCTCAGACTGACAACAGCTTTTACTATAAAATCTTTCAGCCTGTTTCACATCAATGTACATTAACATGTTATTATACTGCACAAATAAATGATGCAATCATCACTAAATGTGATTTCTGTCTTTACAGTCCAAGAACCACTCGTGTGTCAAGGGCAAGCTCAGAGGTCATTGCATCAGTACAGATCATCTTCGAGGCCAGTTCTAAAATCACAGATGATCAAGTTGTACAAACTTTAAAAGCGTGTATGGACTGTAGCGTGATTGAGAAGACCTTTAACAGTAAGTTTGTTACCTGTATTCTAGCACTGTCACGGTTCTGAATCATTTTGACCCAGCTTTTTCTGTTTCTTATATTTTGGTGTTTTTCTAGATTATGTTCATTATATTTATGTTCTGAATCTTGAGTTGTGCTGGTCTGATTTTGTATTACGGGTTATATTTTCTGTCAAGTCCTTGTCTTAGTAAAGTATTTCTTGTTTCCTGTTTTACATGTTCATGTCTGATGTCAGTGTGCTCAGTTTTACTTCTCCCCTGTCTCGTTAGCCTAATTTCTCGCAGCTGTGTCCCCCTCCTGTTTCCCATTCCCTGATTACTCCCCTGTGTATACAAGCCCTGTGTTGGCCTTTGCTCTCTCGCGTGTTGTACCCTCAACATGCTGTGTGTTTGTCATGGTCAGTCCTCTAGCGCCTCTGTTGTGAGTCTTGGTTTTGTTTTGCTTTTTTGAGTATTACTTTATGAGGAACTTTTGCCAGCAATAAAGCTGCGTTTTGAGTTCCAGTCCCGTTTTGAGAGTCCTGCATTTTGGGTCCTTTTTCCTGCCTGCCTGCCACACAACACAGCCATGACAAGCACATTGTTTTATGTCGATATGTATCTAGAATAAAACTCACAGTAGGAATAGATTTGTTTTCAGAAAGAATATAATTGACAAGATGTGTTTCAGAATCCTTTGTACTAAATCTACACTTCTGTCTAAATGAAACTATTTCCACCATCTGTCAAAGATAATTTAGTTGTAATAAAAATATAATGGATGTCACAATCAGGGCAGCTGCTGCCATTGCATGTATTGTAATCTTTATTTATATTTCGGTGATTTATGATGTTCTGATGATCATGATATTTTGAAGATGAAGTCATGCTGTTAATTTCAGTCCAGGGTTCATTTCATGGCATATTAGTGATTCATTTATTTTACTGTTGTACATGTTGCGAAACATGTCCTTGAGTACTGAGGCTTTTTTTCTCTCCGTCATTTAAAGTTACAAACCTGTGTGATGACACTCCCTGTGATGAACACTCCACAAACTGCAAATCAGGCGATGGAACTTTCAGCTGTATTTGTAACAAAGGCTACATGCAAACAGACTACAGTAACAGAATGTGCATTGGTAAGACAATTTCCTGAGCAAAGTAAGTGGTGTGTGTGTCTGTGTGTGTCTTATGTAAGCAAACGACAAAGTGTCTCAATTTTTCTTTTTTACAGCTTGTCCCTTTGGGAAAGAATTGAAGGATAATGAGTGCGTGCCGTAAGTACTCCTTCCCCTCCTGTATGTCCTCTGTTGATGTAAGGTTGCTTTTAAATATAAATCTTAAAATCAACCTTCTTCTTGTCTTGCAGATGCTCGTTTGGTTATTCTGGTTTTAACTGCTCAGAAAGTGAGTATACTGCATGTTTTTAAAGTGAAAGCAGAAGCATGGTTACTTAATGACAGCTATTTAAAGAAAAAACTCACAAGATAAAATATAACACATGATACAATAGGTAGAAAGGTTATTCAAAAGCTGGAAAATGCGATAAAAGTTTATGTCCTATTCATTGTGTTTTATTAGACTGGCAGCTCATTCTGGTAATTGTGGGCCCTGTGCTTGGAGGACTGCTGCTCATAGCCCTCATCCTTCTAGCAGTAGTAGCTACCCAGTAAGTTTCTTACCAATAACAATAACATCTTTCATTTGCCCCCATAAATGTGAGAAAGTGTTTTTCCTCATTTTGATTTAGGCTTTATTTTAGATGCAAATGCAATTAAAATCAAGAGAATTTGTTCATGTCTGACAGACACAATAGTGAATTCAAATATTATTTTACTGCTGTGATTTCAGAAAATTAAACATAAGCTTCAAGAAGAGCAAAAGTGCAGAAATGGAAAAACCCTACACTAACCCGAGTTCTGCCGCACAACCGATGGCTAGCAACAAGTTGGGCCACAGCCAGGGAGTCTCATTTAACAGGTCAGGCAATGGCAATTCAGGTTTTCAGAATGGTGGGGCGCCTGTGTTCCCACGAGCTGCCACCACCACCAACAGCTGGGACAACAGGACCAACCTGGAGATGAAACCAAGCAACGGCCGACAAAACTTTGGACATATGAACAGTGGTTCGGTGAGTATGTCTCTGTGTGTATAGAGAAGAAATACCCTCATCAGGCTTTTTGGTTTCTTAGTGTTTGGCATTAAATTCACTCTCTCTTTTTTTCCTCTATAGCGGTTATATGATGAATCATACGATCAGGCTCAATCTCAGAACAACTCTTATGCCCAGAATCAACCTACAATGAACCCGTATACTCAGAACCAAGGCCAGAGCAACCCGTACTACACACACGATGATGGAAGACGCTACTAGTAGTACAAAATCAGAAAGGCTCACTATACAATGACAGGTTTATGTTTTTAAATGTATTTTATAATTACTGTATGTAATGAACCTTATTGAATCTTATGTATCTGACTACAGTACAAACTGATCGTGACTACTTTATATCAAGTTGGTGGCATGATTTTGAGGATTAGTCTCTTTTTTTTTTTAATCTGTTTTGGTTCATTGAAGTATGAATTACTGAAGAGTTGTCTATTCAAACTGAATGAGAAACCTGGACGTTCATGTCCAAATATAATGCGATAATGAGGAGCTGCTTAATATTGTTGTGTTATACGATTAATGCTTCCTTCATGTATGAATTCACAATTTCTTTTTTTCATGTAAAAATTTTTTGTAATGAACTGAAATTTGATGTTTAATTCAGTTTTTGTGAATGACACAAGTTTCTTCTAATAAAATTATAAGAACCTGTTGCA